GGACTTGATGGGAAAGAACTTTCAGTATATAAAGCACCCAAAGAATGTTTATGCAAAGTTTCACGCATATTTGTTTGCAGAATTTTTATGTCACATTAATGAGTATTTTAAAGTACTTTTTCAATTAATTTTATTAGTTGCACAATATAAATATGATCATCACTTTATGTCACATTTAGTGTTAAAATCAAAAGTCCACTATGCTCCCTCTATATAAAAGTGGATGTATTACTGTGTAAGGGGAATCACGTAGTATATTTAATGGCTCAAAAAAAAATAATGTCGATCATCATAAATAACAATAAAAACATAATTCAATATTAATATTACAAAGGCTCCTAGTACTATTTTTATTATTGTTACCGGAATTAGATTTGGACACTCTTTTGGCCGAACTTAACCAATTCTGAAATTCTTAATTTTTATTATTATTATATTTTATTTATTTCTATTTTTATTTTATTAATTTAGTATTATTTCATCCGTGTTACATCTATTTTCGTAATACATTTATTTTTATTTTTATTTTTATTAATTATTTGTATAACGTCATAATTTCTTTAACTTATTTAAGAAAGAATCATCTTGGATATCATCGCAATTTTGAGATATCGTCACAATTTTGAGATATCGTCACAATTTTGGGATAACTTCTCAATATTGGGAGAATATCTCAATTTGGGAAACTAGAATTATTCGTTAATTGAATTGTATATAAGAAGTTGAATTCAATGTACTTGTAAAGTAACTTTCTAACAAGTTAATTAGTCTTGACTAAGAAAACTAAATAAAATAGTAATATTTTATTTAAATAAACTATTGTCTTCTTTACCCAAAATTATTCGCTAATACCAAAATCAATTCATTGATCCCTTATTCATTCTGACCCACGCAAAAACAAAAATAATTGTTATCACCAATTGAAATACGCTCTCCCAAATTTAATCGGTGACATTATTATTAAATAAAGGCTCCAGGTTTTAATTCTCTATTCTTTTGAGTATATATCCAAATTTCCATAATGCTTGCAAGCAGATGTTAGTATTAATTTCTGTGGACATAATAAATATTGTCTTTAAATGATTTATTAACAGCATTTCCAAATTTCCAGATTATTTGTTGACATATTCTATCATAATCTAACTTATTCACACTGTGTATTTCTAGCTTCTTTTTTAATTTTTTTTACATTCTGATTTGCTTGATAATTCAAGTTTGATATCAAAAGAGCTTGAGAACTTTTAAATGATAAAAGGTAATCCATTAGGGAGTGTAGATACCACTTTCTCTACTATTCTATGAAAAATATGCTGAAATTCCATATTATCAACAGTAATAAAATAAAATAATATTTATTCATGATTACAAATAACAGAAAACATCCTCCTAATGACAGTGTTGATGAAGAAAATATTAATAACAATAACATTGAACAAAAACAGCAATAAAATTTTAATTTTAATTTGAAATCTGTTTTTACAAATTATTTATTTTATTATTTTATTAATAAAACTTATATATGGTAAATGGTTAAAAAAAGAAAGAAGGTGTTGTTAAATCTAGTATAAAGACTAGATCTAAATCAAAAAAAATAAGTCTAAGAAATTAGGTAGATTATTTATTTCTAATTATGAATTTGAACAACTATACTGATTATATTCACTTCTACTAAAATATTGTTAGCAAATTTATATTTTTTTATTGTATTTTTTTTTTTCAACATGAGGGTTTTTGGTTATTGATTTTTTTTTTTTTATATACATATGTGTGTTTGCATATATTATCATAATTAAAGTTGCTAAAATTACAATTAAAATAAGATACATTATTCAATAAATTCAGGTGATAATTAGTAATTCATGTTCCATTTTTTACATTAATAGATAATCAAATGAATTTATCCTTTTGTTAAGATTGAATAATTAGGATCTGTGCCTTTAAGAGTTTTAGCCATAATATGTATGATGTACTTCCATTGCATTCAATTGATATAAATAAAAAGTTTGATTTTGTTGAAAGAACAATTTATAATTATTTATATAAATGCTTTCAAATGCTGAATAAATAAAATTTTATTACATTATAACTTTACTGTTGTCACCGATTAAATTTGGGAGAGCGTATTTTAATTGGTGATAACAATTATTTTTATTTTTGCGTAGATCAGAATGAATAGGAATCAACGAATTGATTTTTAGCGAATAATTTTGGTTAAAGAAGATAAAAGTTTATCTAAATAAAATATTACTATTTTATTTATTTAGTTTTATTTAGTCGAAACTAATTAACTTGTTATCAAGTTACTTTTACATTAGGTCGAAATCAAGTTCTTTATATATATGTTCTTTACATATTAGCCCGAATTGCGCGAATTTTCTCACTTTGTACTTGGGCGAATCCGCACGTTTTGAGCGATTCCGCCCGTTCCGGGAGAATCGTCATTAATCTCTACTAAATAAAGTTAAATAAATATGAATGTGCTACGGATCGATTAATAATAATACGAGAAACGTAACACGAATTCAGATGAATTATACACGTTATTGATAAATAAAAATAGAAATAATAAAAATAAAAATAAATAATAGATTAAATAAATAATAATAATAATAAAAATAAAAATAGAAATAAAAAATAAAATTTAAATTGTCCCGGAATTAAGAGATTCGACCAAAAGATCTGCGTCAAAATCTAATTCCGGTAACACTATCATTATATTCTTTTTACATCGTATAAAGCATAAGAAATAAGAAAATTCCAAGTAATGTTTAGACTCCAATTAATACTGAGAAATAGGCAGCTTTTACTAAATAAATAAAATGTAACTAAGTAGTAAGTAACTTTAGACTAGTAATAATTTGGAGTGAATAGCTTATACAAAAGAAATAATATCTTTTTACTAAGGGATTAGTATGGTTTTTTGAAGAAATTAAAAGTTCTTACTAAATTATTTTGTTTGAAATTTTACAAGAAATTAAAG